GCTGGACCTGGAGGACTGGCTGTGCTGCGAGTACCTGGCCGAGGCCACCGAGGACTCGCTGGGCCACGCCCTGGCGCTGCTGTGGCACTGACCACAGCCACAGCGGACCCAGGGCTGGGGCTGGCGGCCACGACTCCGTGGTCAGCGAGGCGCAGGGCAGTAGGGGTGTGGACAGCCCTTCCCTCCGCTGGCTCCGCTGGCGCCGGCTGTGCGCGGGACTTGGGGTCAGGGTCTCCCTGAGCGCAGCTACCCACCACAGGGCCAGAGCTTCCCGAGACCGTGGACAGCACCTCCCTGGGGCCAGGGCCACTGGCCGCTTCCCGGCAGAGGCAGGGCCCGCCGGTGCCCGCCGGAACAAACGCCCATAGCGCTCCGGATCCTCTCGATGCGGGCCGCCGGAACCCTGGCCCTGGGGCGCCCCCTCGTGCTGAGAAGGGTCAGTGACCCGAGCGTCAACAACGCCCCTAGTGCTGGGGCAGGGCTGCCGGTGAGCAGCCCCATGGGGGTGCTTGCTGTGTGCGTGTGTCATGGAAGAAATGGATTAACTTGAAAAAAAGAAGTTTGGTGGCGAGGGCCGGCAGGTGGCGCGGTGATTAAGGCATTAGACTCCCACGTGGTTCGCCCTGGTTCTAGCCCTGCACCCCGCGACTTGAAAACGACAACTGGGCATATATGCATGCCCCACTCCCAGAAGGCACTGCGGTGAGGCCATGCCCCCGGTGACCCCTCTCCTTCCCTCCATACACCTGTACACCCTACGGGGGACCTGAAGGAAAACACTGTTCGGTGGGTGCTGGCAGGAGGCATGGAGGTTAGGGGCACTGGATTCCCATTCCCATGACGGACCACGGCTGTTCGAGTCCTGGTCCCAGTGGCTTAAAACTCACGCCAGGCACGTGTGTGCGCCGGAGAATGGAGAAGGGATTGAGGTGTGGCCATCCCCCCGGGAGGTGATTTCTGTGTCAAGCGCACTCTACCTCGAGAGGAAAAAATAATCCAGCTTGGTTGGGGACCAGCAGGTGACAGGGTTAAGGCACTGGACACTCGCATATGGCCAACCAGTTAGGAGTCCTGGACCTAGTGGCTTATTTTCCCTCTCTCTGGTCAAGTTAAAACAAATAAACTAAATAAAAACTTTCATTGAACTTTATTGATTCATTTATTTTAATTTGAGCACAGAGTGAGAGACAGTGAGAAGGCAAGCTGCCATGTCTGGGACTTGAACCACGGTCAGCTATGTGAGAGTTCAGCACTCAACCACCATGCCACCTGCAAGCCCCGAAATTCTTAAAAAAAAAAAAAAAAGAAACACCAAATGGAAC